CTTATGGAAACTAATTTGAATCTTCTTTACATTCTGCCTGATAGCCACCACTACCACCACCAAACCTGATTCTATTTATTTTTAAAAAAGACTAGGTTGAAGTGAAAAGATGGATTTGTTCATTTCTAATCTTATCCAATTCTTAAGATATACTTACAGAGTTAACAGGCTACCCAAAACGCTAACCCATTTATTCAGATTCTCAAACATTTGTCTGTGTGAAATAACCAATATCCCATTTTCCTTTGGGAAAGAGAATGTTTTTTAGTAATTTTTGGCAAACTATTACCTGATTTGTGGAAACTCTGATGAAAGCCTTGGGTTGCACAGAAAAGGAAAACTTCTAAAATAAAAATAATGAATTAGAGTGGACCACTTCTGTAATACCAAAAATCGTATGCAAAATGAGAATAATGAGAAAAAGTTTGTAAAAGAAGCTCTATCCACATACCCACTTCTTGGTAAAGAACAAGTCTGTATACAATTAGCAATTGTATATTGAACCTATGCAGAAGTATCTCCCAGGGGATTACTGTTACACATCCTTAGTTCTATAGACTGTATTCTATTGCTGTTTTTTTTTTTTTTGTCTTTTTCATTATTCATATTATTGTATATGACTCACAGGTAGGCTGAGAATGCAGTATTTATTGGCGAGAGGAAGCTGTTCGTAGTGCTTTAGGGTGTAGGATAGAGACAAAGTTTGCAATTTCCTTATATAAAGATACGCAAATATTTAAAAAGGTATTATTAGAGCTTCCTGATTCTGAGTTTTAAAAAAATTAGGTAAAGGAATATTCATAGGTTCCTCCTGGTCTTGAAAAAAATATTAACTCCTGTTTATAAGTGATGATAATTGTTTATAGAGCTGAATAAGCATTGATTCTGGTTTTACTCCATTTTCCCTTCCTCCCTAAAGAAGAAGGATGATAAACAATAAACTTACACAGTACCTGTTTTATGATGAGTTTAAAGTAGAATGTTGGGTAAAATATTGAACTACACTGGTACATAACTTTAAGGAGTATAATATAAATATATAGTTTATGGTTTTCAGAAATAAACATTGACTTGGAATATCAAAATGAGTTAAAATGTTATGTTCCGTAGCCCTTAGCACAGATCTTCATGGCAACTTAAAGCTCCTCAAAGATGGCTATCATTTCAAAGCAGAAATATAAGTGTGATAAATAGTTATATTCATTTCACATGCAAAGAAAAACATCCTAAGAATTTACAATTAAAAACATGAAAGATAAACATTAAAATCTAATAACCCAAACTATTATCACAGAAAATCTTATAGGACAGAAGCTGTTTTCTGCCTTTTAACACTGATAACTATATTGTAAGATGATTCACATATTTTAATGTGTCTTCTGTCTCAAAGAAATTATATCAGTTTAATTAGGTAAGTTTTGTGACAAACCTAAGCTTGAAATTAATACAAACGATTACACAATTTTCACATTCCTGAAGGGTTCTTTGGTGTCTGCATATTGTGTTGTATCAGTCAAAATGTATTTCTTGTGACCACACAAAAATGCAAGGTGGCTCTGGCTTCAGAATGAGCACGTTTACAAATGTATTTGAACTAAATTATGTAATTTATGCAGGTACTATCTCTGTGGTTTTTTATTTTGTTCTCTTTACAAGTGAGAAGCAGATAAGTGCTGCTAATATTTTTTTCAGTAAAGCAACTGTTGTTTTTAAGTTTGAGTCATTTGAAGATGGGTAGGTTTGTTTGCAAATTGGTAGTTTCTATATATAGCCTCATATATATTTTTGTGTTAGGATTATGGCAAGAATATGAAATTTTAATGTATTTTTAGGGTATACTTTTCTTAATAAATTTAGTTCCTAATTTTGTGTAATGAGGACAGACAATAGCCCAATAATTCAAAGAATAGTCAAAGATGACTGTAGAGAGGATTATATAAAACAGGATATTTAGTCTTTCCTATAAACTGAGTACAGTTGACCCTTGAACAAGTCAGGTTTGCATTGTGTGGGTCCGTATATCAGATTATTTTCAATAAATACAGTACAGTACTGGTAAGGTATTTTCTTCATGATGTTCATACTATTTTCTTTAGCTTATTCGAAGAGTAAGTATATAATAGGGGGCACCTGGGTGTCTCAGTTGGGTATCCATCTGACTCTTGGTTTCAGCTCAGGTCATGATCTTGGGGTTGTGAGAGGGAGACTGCTTAAGATTCTCTCCCTCTTCCTCTGCCCGTCACCTCTCCCCCCTTAAAAAGATTTTTTTTCTTTTTTTTTTTATTTGAGAGAAAGAGAGTGAAACAGGCAGGGGCAGAGGGAGAAGGAGAGAGAGAAAGGGAGAATCTCAAGCAGACTGCATTGATTGCAGAGCCCAACACGGGAGAGAGTGCGATCTCACAACCCTGAGATCATGACCTGAGCTGAAATCAGGAGTTAGATGCTTAACCAACTGAGCCACCTGGGCGCCGCCACCCTCTTTTTTAGTGTAGTCTTTATCTGGTTTTGGTATCAGGGTAATGCTGGCCTCATAGAATGACTTTGGAAGTTTTCCTTTCTTTTTTACTTTTTGGAATAGTTTGAGAAGAATGGGTATTAACTCTCCTTGAAACGTTTGGTAGAATTCACTTGTGAAGCCATCTTGTCCTGGACTTTTGTTTGTTGAGAGTTTTTGGATTCCTATTTCAATTTCTTCACAGATTATTGGTCTGTTCAAGTTTTCTGTTTCTTCCTATTTCAGTTTTGGTAGTTTATGTTTCTAGGAATGCATCCGTTTCTTCCAAATTGCCTAATTTGCTGGCATGTAATTGCTCATAATATTCTCTTGTATGTGTTTTGGTGGTGTTGGTTATTATTTCTCCTCTTTCATTTGTGATTTTATTTATTTGGGTCCTTTTTCTTTTTGGTAAGCCTGGCTGGAGGTTTATCAATTTTATTGATTTTTTTTCTTTTCAAAGAACCAGCTCCTAGTTTCATTGATTTGTTTTATTGGGTTTGGGTTTTTTTAGTTTCTATATCATTTATCTCTAATCTTTATTATTTCCTTCCTTTTGCTGGCTTTAGCCTTCTTTTGTTCTTTTTCTAGCCCTAAAGGGTGTAAAGTTAGGTTGTTTGAGATTTTTCTTACTTCTTGAGGTAGGCCCGTGTTGCTATATACTTTCTCTTAGGACAGCTTTTTTTGCATCCCAAAGATTTTGGACTCTTGTGTTTGCATTTTTTCCATGTATTTTTTTAAATTTCTTCTTTGATTTCCTGATTGACCCATTCATTGTTTAGTAGCCTGTTGTTTAACCTCCATGTATTTGTGGTCTTTCCAAATTTTTTCTTGTGGTTGACTTCTAGTTTCATAGCATTTGGTCAGAAAGGGTGCATGGTATGATCTCAGTCTTTTTGTATTTGTTGAGGCCTGATTTGTGACCTATTATGTGTTCTACTCTGGAGAATGTCCCATGTGCACTTGATAAGAATGTATAGTCTGTTGTTTTGGGATGGAATGTTCTGAATATATGTTAAGTCCATCTGGTCCAGTGTGTCATTCAAAGCCATTGTTTGCTTATGTAGTTTTTGCTTAGATGATCTGTCAGTTGATGTAAGTGGAATGTTAAAGTCCCGTTATTGTATTATTATCAATTAGTTCTTTTATGTTTGTTATTGTTTTACATATTTGGTTGCTATCAGGTTGGGGACATAAATATTTACAATTACTATATTTTCTTGTTGGATTGTCCCCTTTATTGTGATATAGTGCCCTTCTTAGTCTTCTTGTTAACAGTCATTGTTGTAAAGTGTAGTTTGTCTAAGTATTGCTACTCCAACTTTCTTTTAATATCCATTTGTATGGTAAATGTTTCTTCATCACCTCACTTTCAGTCTGCAGGTGTCTAGGTCTAAAATGGGTCTCTTGTATGCAGCATATAGATGGGTTTTGGATTTTTAGTCCATTTACATTCAAATTAATGATAGATATGTATTTAGTACTATCTTTTTTTTTTTTTTTTTGTCATTTCTGGAGATTTCTCTGATCCTTTGTCTTTGTCACTTTTGGTCTTTCCAGTCAGAGAATCCCCATTAGTATTACTTGCAGGGCTGATTTAAATGGTCATGAACTCCTTTAGTTTTTGTTTGGGAAACTCCTTATCTCTCCTCCTATTCTGAATGATAGCCTTGCTGGATAGAGTATTTTTGGCTGTGGATTTTTCCCATTCAGCACGTTGAATATATGATGCCACTCTCTTCTGGCCTGTAAAGTTTCTGTTGCAAAATCTCCAGCTAGCCTTATTGGTCTTCCCTTATCAGTTAAGGACTTCTTTTATCTTGCTGCTTTTAAGATTTGTTCTTTATTAGTATATGTCTTGGTGTTGCCCTGCGTTTGTTGATTTTGATTGGGAGTTCTCTCTGCCTTCTGGATCTGGATGTCTGTTTCCTTTTCCAGATAAGGCAAGTATTCTATTATTTTTTGAAATAAATATTCTACTCTCTTTTCTCTCTCTCTCCTTCTTCTGAGACTCCTATAATATGAATGTTACTATGTTTGACGGAGTCACTGAGTTCCTGGAGTCTATTCTCATGTTCCATAATTCTTTCTCTCTTTTGTTCAGCTTCATTATTGTCTGTTATTTATCTTCTGCGTCACTTATTTGTGTTCCTGTGCTTCTTCCAGCCTGCTGTTCATTGTATTCTTCATCTTTGATGGATTCTTTTTTAACTCTTTAATCTCTGTGGTAAGGGTCTCCCTGATGTCTTCTATTCTTTTCTCAAGCCCAGTGAGTATCCTTATGATTATTGCTTTAAATTTTCCATCAGGCCTATTACTTATATCTGTTTCACTTATATCTCTGGCTGTAGCTTTATCTTGTTCTTTCATTTGGGATGAATTCCCAAAGTCCCATAGTTAGTGAGTGAAAATTATTCTAATGGGTGAAGTGATACATGATTTTTTAAAAAATGCAGTACTGATATTCCTTGACATACATATTATAACATTACACCCTGTTTTTCAGTGTATAGTCTTTGCTATGACTTCTGGCCAGATGTGGAATCATATCCGTGGGCCTCCATATGCTCATAAGAACCCACACAATGGACAAGTGGTAAGTGCATGTTCTAAGCATCCATATTTTAAACTTTATCCTGTTTAATTTTTAAATAATATTCACACACAACGTGGGGCCCGAACCAAGGACTCTGAGGTGGAGAGTGACATGCTTTTCTGACTGGGCCAGTCAGGTACCCCTTTCATCCTGTTTATCAGAAATCATGTGCAGTATTTAGTGAGAAAGGATTTTGTCTGTAAATCTAAAGTTTTGTTCTTTCTCTTCTGCTACTACCTCTACTGTATGCATACACACATGCACATATATATATGTATATTTTAGGGTGAGGACTGCTTTACTGTTTAAGAAAATTTGTGTACCTACCACATCAAATAGCCATTCATAACCTAGTTTTTCACCTTTACATATTGCTATGGCAATAATATGTAATGCCAAAAGAGGAAATAGGAACAGTTTGTAGGCAGTGTCCCATAAATGGTAAATTTAGTTAAGGAGAGATTAATTAATTAAAACATCATTAAGAACCCTGGCAGTCATATTAGAATGCTAAGAAGTGTTTGTTACAAAATTGAAAGGGAAATTGATGTGCAGTTAAATCAGTAGCAAAGTTCACATTAGTAACTGCTACTGAATTTATTTTGTTGCTTCACTTTTTTAGGTTTTTTGTTTTTGTTTGGTGAATGGGATATATTGTAATAGATCAACTTTGGAAAAATAGATCCACTGTCTTTGAGGCTTAACATTTATTAGGTTGGTGAAGATTAACTGTTTAAAAATGTGACCTTTTTTCTGTAACTCTTTCATTTGGAAAACATACAGATTTTGAGAGAATAATGTAATGACACCCCTCATGTACCTGTTACCAAACAATTACTAGCCAATAACTAATACTTGTTCCATCTCTTCCTCCATTCAGTTCTCTTTACCTTCTGTCGGATTCTTCTGAAATAAGTGCTCAATATCATTTCATTTCATACAGAAATACTTTCGTAGGTGTCCCTAAAAGATAAGGTCTTACCACAGTCACCTAGAATATTAAATTCTTAATTTGTTTTTTTGTAAATAAATTCCTAAAATTGTAATTCTGAATAAAATTTTCATATGGCAAAATGTTATAAATTCTCTGGAACTCTATAAATATAGATTACAACATAAGTTTGAAGATTGATTCTTCATTGCTTATAGTGCTTCAAAGACCTTTAATATTAAAGCCAACAAGTTATTATTTCTTCTTCCTACATTGTGACTTTCTTTGAACTTCTTCGTGGAACTCTGTACATTGGGAAATATTTCACTTTATTCATTGCCCGTTCCCTGACTGCCCAATCAGGTTTTAAGGACTAGTGGCTAATTACCAGATTTAGGTAATGATCAGTTTGGTCTCAGATTTCTCCTGAGGATGGCAATGATATGGAGTTAGACTGGATGATTAGCTGCCATAGACATTTAGACATGGGTTTTGCCACGTATGTATATTTTTGAAATCTTTCACTACTTAGAGGGGTTATTGAATGTTTAAATATTCAAATTGAATTACTTTAAAGAAAAATACTTGGAAATAATTATCAAGCAAGTCTTTCCAACAGCCCAACTAGTAGGTGGTGTCCTTTCCTCTCCTCCTCCCCGATACCCACAATCTGTCCCTTTCCTGTTTTATTTTGCCTTCATAGCACTTAATCATCTTCTCACATGCTATCAAATCTACTTATTTTGTATTTTTATTTCTCTGCTTTTTATCATGACATCAGTAACAGTAAGACATAAAAAGTCCTGCTGTCAGGTTTTATCAGTTTTTGTCACTGATATGTTCCTATTACATAGAGAAAGTCCTGTTGAAAGATTGGATCACTATTATGTTCCTGCTACCTCAGAGAACATTCCTTAAGTTGAAAAGCATTAAGCATTGCTTTTTATTGTTTGGTTGTTAAAGTATATGGAAAATTAACCAACATTTTTATGAAATGTGTTTACTTGTATAGGGGAAGAAAAAAGTTTTTCTCTACTCTTCTGAGTTTTTGGCTAGGACCCCTATAACAAAATAAAGAAGTATAAGAGAAAAACTTATTAACATGTATACTTCCTGTACACACGGGAGAGACTCAGGGAAAAATCAGTAACACTCAGAGGTGACTTAGAGTTCAGACTCAAACACCATCTTCAGCTAAAGATAGAAAAAAAATATGTGCAAGGGAGGCCACTTACATGGAGGTGACCAGGAAAAGCAAGGTAATTAAAAGTAAGATTTATTATGCAGAAGTCAGTCACAGGTACCCCCCTCCACACATTTTTTGATAAGGGTCTAAAGTTGTTTGTAGGAATTTACCTTTGTCAATCCTGGTAGAAGGGGAGGAGGGACACCTTCGGAAACATGTGCTGCCTTTAGGCAGATTGGGGAGGCCGGAGAGCTTTTCTTGTATCTTCTTCTCAACTTCCTTCAGGCCAAAATAATCCTTACACGAAAGTGACATATTTTTCTTACTGTAATCTCTATTATCTATTGCTTTTCTAAACCATCTAATCTCCTTACATGTAGTTTACTGGAGTAATAAGCTCCTAAAGTTTGTGCCAGTAACAGTAACTGAGAATGGATGTGACCTATTGTTCACTGACTACATGTGAGGCGGTAGACTTCATAGCTGAATATTTTAGGCTACCAGGTGAATATTCCTAAAACGTAACTTATTATAATATGTATGGACCTGAGTTACCAGTGTACAATCCCAAGTACCTCTCCCATTTCCTGACCATTGTGATTGTACTTTTCAACCTGTTAACTCTACTACTTTGCAGAGAAAGTGTTAGCCTATTTGTACTGTTGTGTGTTTTCTAAACTTTTTTTTGCTGCTTCCATTCCTGGAATGTCCTCTGTATCTCAGATTGTACCTGTCCTTCATATCTCACCTGATTTTGCCATCCTGCTGAGATGTGTTACTTCTTAATTACATTGGAAGTGCCCCCGACTTCCCTTTACATATTTATTAACATGTGGTTAGTCCACTTATCTACGCATTTTTTAGTATAATGATTCTTTAATGTTTCATATATCCCATTTTAGTCAAGTCCTTAGACATATGGAATTTCTTTGAAGCTATTTTCATCTCTACAACTTGCATTGAGCTGGTCCTCAGTAAATTTTTATTAAATGATTATAAGGACTCATACTAGAAGATTTTTGTTTCTAAAATTGGATTATCTTTTAATTTTCTCACTAGTCAGAAGAATAATAGGATTAACATGTCACTATTAATTAAGCATAAACCAGTTACTCACCTTAAAGTTCAGGTTAGAGATTTTATTTATTTAGAAAATTATCTTTTTCCACATTTTTATATTACTATTTTTCAGGTAGTGATTGGCATGGCCCTTAGGAAAAGGTACTCTGAGGCCCAGAGGAACACATTAGGAGAATTTTCTGTATTTTTAAATGGAAAAGCATTTCCTTCATACATACATCTTTTAACATATTTATCTTAAATTTCAGCAACTTAATCAAAAGTTAGAAATAATGAAATTTAAACCAAGGTATTTAAAAAGATGAATTTTGTTCCAAACTCTACCCTCTTGTATTTTATAAAAATATAAAGGTTTTAGAAATTCAGGAGCCTCTTTTACAGCAACAATTGCATGAGTGTGCTCTTGGCCACAGAGATGTGGATACAGTTTTAAGTTGATGTGAGATATTAACTGCTTAGCGGTATAGACAAAGCCTTTAATCTGCCTATTAAAGCACAGTGAAAAGGGCAGCAGAATGTTGCCTGTTAGTATATAGCTTTTTTCTTGTTTTGCATTTTAACATATTCCAACAAAATTTCTCTTCCTGCCTTTTTATATACATGTCAACATACACTGAAACAGGAAATTATGGTTTAAGTTTTGCTTTAATGAATTGCTTTACATAATAATGTGTTTTCATATTACTGAAACATGGTTACTGGTACAGAACTTTAAATAATTATTGTTCATTAGAATGATAACAGCAAATGTTTTTCTTTATAATAGACGTGTTCAAATTTCAAGATATAACTTGAAAATTAGTACTATCCTTCTTTGGTAATTTCTTCATATTTTAACCTGTATTTCTAAAGAGAAATTACCAAATCTCTAAAGAGAATTTGTGTTTTTGAGAATAATTATCATGAGGCTATTTACCTCTTTCAGTGGTATGGAGTATCTTATGAATATATAAAGGAATTTTATAACTTGGCATTAATTCTTGATGACCAGTGTACATCAAGTGCATTAGGGTGGAACTAAGGTATATAAGAGAGTACTTCTTACTGGTTTTCACATCTGTAACAATTTCCATTTACTCTTATTTGTAGGTAACTATTATACACAAAGATCAGCTAATTGAGTTATAATTTTTGTTGAGTTTTGTTAAATTAATTACATTAATGTTTTACTTCAACTCAGATGTTTTGAGGAATTTATTCATGAAGAATTTATATCAGTGTTATGTTAACGTGAACTAACTTTGTAAATACTTGAGGATTGCATTATGAAAGTCTGTGATTTACAGAATTATTTTTTTCCTTTTCTCTGAAGTTGTGATTTCTATATAGAATTCTGGGTGATTATTGTTCTCTTGTCCCAATACTATATAACTAGATTGCCATTTTTCCTGTATAAGTTTAGAAAGAATTTAAGATCCAGTTTTATATTTTTTAAGCATAAAAACCACATTAATTATAAAAAGGCTTACTTTTATTTTTTTCTTCACCCTGACCAATTCTCATTTCAGGCATTGATTTATTAGTATTATCACTTGATATTTTAAATTACACTTTAGGAAATTCAAATGTTTAAGAATAGTAAGACAATCTTGAAAGAGAAGTACAACGCTAAATGACTTTAGGTTACCAGATTTCAAAACGTTTATTAATTGTGAAAGCACATTCTGTTAAATTGGTATATTTGTCCTTCAAGCATATGCACACAGTTATGGCAATAGTAATGCCAAAATGCAGTGTGGAACATTTAAAAATGTAGAATCTTAACAGTTGTCATATACCATAAATATAAATCCCATATGGATT